GATATTTCAACCGGGGTTAAGAGGAAGATCTGGAGGGATGCGACGAAATATTCGTGGCAAAGATGAGGCTGTTCGAAGTCTGGCTACAGATTCTTAACGATATGATAATTGTGACGAATGATTTCGTGATCGTGATTATTTTGTACGATTGTAGAGCAGTTTTGGTCATTTTTGTTGAGGTTTGCGTCGACTACAAAATTCATAACCCTAAACACTCAACCCACGCACAAATTACATCCATAAATCTCGTAAACCAATAAGTCCCATAGCACACATTCCAAATGACTACTTAACATAAGACACACCCTCATCAGACTCAAAATAAATCAAGTTTCAGTCGACATTTCTAACCGGCAAGAAAAGTCAACGACTATAATTCGGCCTCGAGGAAAGAAAGGGCACGTTACGAGAGGGAGAGGATGGGGTGCTGGCTTACTTCCGGTTCGTCTATTCGCGTCACCATACGGCACGAGCTGCATTCTCACGCTCATTTGCATAGCCGGCTACACATCAATATTCAGGGAGGCCGGAAAACGGGCCCGTTTTGCATACTGGACCCCCCGCTCCTGTTATTTCTTCTTTCGCATGGATATCCCGGTGGGGCATCCTGAGAAAAAGAACCGAAACGATGGGACCCTGAGGACCATGGAATTTAATATGCCAATCGATCGAAATTTAAAGACGTCTTCGGTGAACCGTGGATCGAAGATGCGATTGGGTTAACCCTTTTTGGGATACCTTGCATATATGATTAATCCTTAGACATCTGTCGAATGACTGCAACTTGGGAAAAAATTTTGTTTAGTACGAATTTGCTATTTTATTTCAATTTCGCTATTTTATTTATTTCAGTAATTTGCTGTAAAAAATGTGCAAAGGTAATTATTCTGATTCGAAGACTGTCATATCATGTTTGATAGACTTCATATCCCTATATCATAATGTTTAAATAAGTAGATCACTTACAACTTCGATAATTATTAAGAAGCTTCCTGTCAAAGATGTTAACCTTTTAGATAAAGAATTATTGTGTCAGCTGGTGTTAAACGTTACTCATTTATTTTTGTAGCTCAGTTTCGGTTTGGACATAAGTGGTTATAAACATTTTGACTGCGATATATGGGTGATGTATAAATATTCATATGGACCACCTATATGATCCACCTATAAGATTTCATTTACCTAAATTTTTATTATCTACTTGTATTGTGAATAATAAATATAAGTATTATGAACCTATTGTAGGTTTCGTTAAAAATAAAAATATCAAATCTTGAATTACATCAGTGACATCTAGTTCTTTCACCTACAGAAATTATTAAGAGACGTTCTGTCAAAGATGTTAACTTCCAGATGAAGAATTATTGTGTCGGCTGCTGTTAAACATTACTCATTTATTTTTGTAGCTCAGTTTCATAAGTGGTTATAAACATTTTGACTGCGATATATGGGTGATGTATAAATATCCATATGGACCACCTATATGATCCATCTATAAGATTTCATTTACCTAAATTTTTATTACCTACTTGTATTGTGAATAATAAATATGAGTATTATGAACCTATTGTAGGTTTCGTTAAAAATAAAAATATTAAATCTTGAACTACATCAGTGACTAGTTCTTTCACCTACAGAAATTATTAAGAGGCGTTCTGTCAAAGATGTTAACCTTCCAGATGAAGAATTATTGTGTCAACTGGTGTTAAACATTACTCATTTATTTTTGTAGCTCAGTTCCATAAGTGGTTATAAACATTTTGACTGCGATATATGGGTGATGTATAAATATGCATATGGACCACCTATATCATCCATCTATAAGATTTCATCTACCTGAATTTCTATTATCTACTTGTATTGTGAATTATAAATATAAATATTATGAACCTATTGTAGGTTTCGTTAAAAATAAAAATATCAACTCTTGAACTACATCAGTGACATCTAAAGAAGCTTTAGAAAAAATGATTCATGCACCACGTGATCGAGTAAAAAAAATTTCTTTGACTCTTCCCGTAACCTCCCCTTCGGTACAAAAGATCGCGGAAGTTCTCGTTGCACACACGCGCGTCTCCGTAGGAAGGAAGGCGGGTTGCGTAATTTAAATAATTCAGAAATGACCCTGACCCCGGTTAGGCCGCGGGCTGACCTGCAGTCGGCGATTACAATCACAATGCAACGTCGAGTTCTCAGGGTAAGACAGGTAGCACGTCGGACCCGCATACATTAGATCGAAACCATCCACCGTGCGTTCATACACGCAGAAGCGTGCTCTGTGTGACGACGAGTGATTTTATGCACGAGAAACGTGATTTTATGCTTGCCGCTAGACGAAAGAGCAGCCAGTCTCTTTTCCTGCTCCTGACTGGCGCGCATTTAACCGGACCGAACGATTAGCATAACGTTTCGTCTTGCATGAAAATCCCACGGTGACGACGTGAATTTCACCGATCGCGATTCGTAAACCGAGGTTTTGTTGAACGGTTGCGAATTCGTGAGAAATCCTGCGTATATGACAGTGCGAGGATAAGTTAGGGTGCCTTCGTGAGAAATCGAGGTAAAGATTTAACCTCGGTGACATTAGGATGATTAATTGGTAATATTTGACGGATTAGTACATTTGGAAAATTGGACTAAACTCGGTCTCACAATGTTTAAAATTTAAAATACCTACTGTAGACATAGGTAGAGCAAAAATAAGGGATTTTAAACATATAGGTAGAACAGGAATGAGATGTGGGGATATTAAAATCAACACGTGTTTGAAACTATCGAAAACAATACCAAATAGGATTATTAATTTGATGATTGATGTGAGCTGACACAGAGTCCAGCTTTTAACAACTTAGCTGGTGTCAGTAGATGTACATCAGAATTTAAAGAGTACTTGTATTATTACCCCTGTAACCTTCCCTATTAACCCTTAAGCTTCTGTTAATATTTAAAAAAAAGTCATGTATCCCCAAATGAGATGTCTGCCCAGAAACGTTCAGTTAGACGTTCTCTCTTATGTAACAAAGTTTCCTTGTTATTGTGACCACACAAATGATCATCATATTTGATGAGTTCTAATTAGTATTTGCCAAAATAATAAAATAGAAGTTATATGATAAGCAGGAGATGTAACGAAGGGTTAAATCTGCTTAGACACAAGAGAAGCAACATTAAACGGGTTCTTCGTGCACGATAACGAGCCCTCAATCCACGGTTTGCTTCCTGTTTCCTAAGAACAATACGGCGATCAGGATCTCGTGCAGCGGCGGGTACCGTTTTACGTGATCGATGACAATCGAACATCGGCTGGATCGCGGCGAAATTTGCATCCACAATGCTGGAAACTAAACAGTCAAAGGGTTGAAGGCCGGAATGCAGATGAGCCGACGTAGCCGCCCTCGAAAGCGGATGTTGGCAGTCTGCAGCTACGTAGACAATGGGCCAGTGCCATTATGTCCGTCGAATCCTAAAACCCCATAGAGTCGTTCTTCTCTGTCTATTATTCCGCCGGTGGCAGGCCACATTGTGTATCCGGTCTGCCACGGGACCCCGGCTATTGTCGGCCCACCTAATTATTCGCAAATCTTCCGCTCGTTGCGAATACACACCCCTCCACCCCCTCGGCTGCTTGCTCTCAACATTGCGAAATTCCGTCTTTGGCCAGAGGCTTGTTGTTCGCGTATAATTCGCCTCTGGTTCGAACTGGCTGCCTCTGAGCCGATTGTCTAGCCGGGGATTTGCTCCTGGTTGCACGATTAAATCGTAAGAGGCCAGTTTACACGGGTCTCTCATCGATCACTCTTTGCTGGAGTTCTACGGAGTTTTTGTTTCGTTTGCGGTTTGTATTGCGAATTAACGCTGAATCGATATTTCATTTATATACGTATGTATGTAATTTATGTACATACATATGTGATACATATATGGGTTTATATTTCGGTGTCAATGTTTAAGTATATGTATTGTATAGTATGTTTATTTACTTAATTGTATAGTGTATTGTATAGTGTGTTTATCTACTGAATTGTATAGTATATTGTATAGTGTATTTATCTACTTTTTTATTTGAACTTTAATGAGCCTTATTTACTATACGTGATTGGAACTTATTAATTTTTTGTAAAATATACTTTGTTTAACGTGTTGAAAATATTCAACAGCATCATATTAGACAATATTAGTCCTTTGCGTTCGAGAGGTGGCTCTCAGTCACCATTTTATTTAATACAATAATTTGAAATGAGCATTTTTTAACTGATTTTAACTGATTTTGATAAAATCTCAAACGAATTCATTTAACTTTTTAACTAAGTTTTAAAGTTGCTGTTTGCAAACAGTCAAATTACCTTCGAGTGCAAAGGGTTGAAATATTCAGTGAATAAGACTTTCTATATAAAAAAAGTGTGTCAGATAGAGGAGATTCAATTTACTGTATTTAGTTATGCTATATTATAGTATACTTTTATATAATATAGTATAGTAGTATAGTATAGTATGCATTACATATCAAATGTGTTCATACAGAACATATGAATATGTATATTTGCGTCAATATGTAAGTTTTATATAATCACATGTTATATTGTATTTTTTAATTAAATTACAGTTAAATTGTAATAAAATATGTACTGTACACCATTTAACATGTTTAAAATATTCAATAATGCTATATTTAACATATTAAGATATTCAAGAAATCACATATTGAATGCACTAAAAAAAATATTAAGTATATTAATATACTCGTATTACTTGTATGTTAAGTGTATTAATAAATATATGAGTTTATACTCTTAATATGTGACACGCACTATGTTACATTTTATTTCTCCACCCCTTTTCTCAACTTTAAACTGACTTTGTGCCTCATCTGCTATGAGTAATAGAACCTAATCATCCTGTTTCTCAATACAAAGAATAAAATATTAAGGTATTAGAATGATGTTTTAAAAATTAAATTTAAAGCACCACACCGAACATTATTTTGAAGAATAAGTACTTACCTCAGGATCAGATGAATCAGGTCGTGAAAAAGCGTAGAGGGTTGCAAGTTTGTCGTAGAGATTGATGCGGTCGTGCAATGTTTTGAAAGGATTCTTGGTGCTGAAGAAGTCGAGATCAACGTCCAAAATGTAAGGAGTGTTTCGCTCAGGAAGATACTGTCGTAGGGCTGAACTGATGGCAGTGAAATCGTCCGTCTGAAATAAATGAGTTCGGAGAAACGACGTTAGAAAGATATTTAGAGTATCTATTCTATTACTAATTTGGTTAGGTTAGGTTAGCTTAGTTATCGGTTCTAATTAGTTAATATTAGGTATCTATACTAATATCAATTTTGTTAATATTAGAATTTCAAAATTTAGAAAATCAGGAATTTGGAAATTTGGAAATCTGATAATTTTGGACTAAATTTAACAATTTGGCAATTTAGCAATTTAGCAATTTAGCAATTTAGTAATTTAGCAATTTAGCAATTTAGCAATTTAAAAATTTAGAAATTTAGAGATTTGGTAATTTAATAATTTCAGGAGTTGGAAATATGGGAATTTACAAATTTTCATCCTAGAAAATTTAAGAATTTGATAATTTAGAAATTTAGAAATTCAACAATTTAGTAAAATGGAAATTAAGAGATATGATATAAAAATTTGGAACCTTGAAAATTTAGGAATTTAGGAATTCGATAATTTAGTAAAATGCGAATTAAGAGATTTAGTGATATAAAAATTTGGAGCTTTGAAAATTAAAAAATGTGAAGATTCTTATCAGATACAGATATCTGACCGAACCTCTTGAAAATTAGAAACTTGGGAATTTAGAAATTTTCAAGTTTAAGAATTTAGGGATTTGGTGGTTGGTAAATTTAGAAATTTTGATATTTAAGTTTTGATAATTTGGAAACGTAGAAGTTTAGGATTTTACCAACTTAGAAATTTATGAATTTCAAATATATACTTTCTCAAACTCGTATATTTATAAATTCAAAATAAGTACTAGAATTCAGAAAATTCTCAACTCAAACACCGTAACATAAAAATATAATACAGCTGCTACTGTTATTAATATCCTAATCAAATGACTATCCAGTCTGTTACTACTTTCCGTTAGGTTAGGTTAAATATATTCCACTACTAATTTAGTTAGTATTGAAATGAATAGATTATCATCATTAATAAATTAGTATTACAACAGATATTAATTTTGCTAGGTTAAATATTTATTGCAGTACCAATTTGGTTACTAATAAAACTATATTACTAACAAAATGAATAATATACTAATTTTATTATTATTATATTATATCACTCTCTCTAAAACTATCAACTAATACAATAAACAATAATTAAAAAACTACCAATATTAAAAAGCCTTGAACCTATCATTCGCAAAAGGCCACCAAAAATTACAAACGACCCCAATTTTTCAACTCATCGAGCGCAATTTGCAATCGTGCCGTTTCTTTCGCAGAGGCAAAGCCGGTCGTAGGATATTGTTCGAAATGAGGCTAAACGCGACATGCAGAGGGGATTTTTTGTGACTGGCAAAAAACAATGACTGCACTCGAATTAATCCTGTTATAATTGATACTCGTCCGGCACCGGAATCGCAACTTGCATGCGTTCACAACAATGAAACCCGAACGGGGTTCGCTGAGGGTTGGCATTTGTCGATCGAGGGGGCGGAGATCGGACAGAAAAGCAAAGCCAACGATCACTATGGTCAGCGACTCTCAAACGTTTAATACGAGACCTTCGATGGGCCGGCTGTTGCGTGTTTTCCTTTCTATTGCTGTCTCGAGTGTTGCGGTAATCAAATTTAATTACCAGTTTTTTACCCCTAGTCGCGGGAAAAGGGAACGCGTTTTTGACAGAATATCGAGTAGTGATGTCTCTGTTTAAATCGAATTCGATGTTATTTGATTAAACTTTGCTGCTATTTGATAGATTATTTTTTAAATAATACATTGTCTTATTTGTTTATGTATTCAAAATTAGTTGGTTTGTTTAAATGGATATATTTGTATTCCGATTTTTAATAGAATTATTTTATTTAAAAGTAATGTATAGAAGATTATTTAACTGCTCGAAGAAGTCAACTGTTTTACAGAACACGAACTTAACCTATAAACGTTTCACAATTATCGAACGACTCTAAAATATATCCTTTAAGAATAAAATATTTATTTATTAATTCGAAATGAAAGAAAGCCAGTATTTCACAATTCTTCAGCTAAACACATTTTCCCAGATTCCGACAGTTATTCAAAAATACAAAGTAAAATCAACAAAGAAAGAACGGCTGAAAGTATTCCAAGTGGCGTCTGAGGGAAAAAAATGTCGGTCCATTCTTCGTAAAAATTTTTTTGGCAGAACTTGAAGTGTTCCTGGCAAAAATTCGAAAAGCCCGAAACGAAACCTTACAGGGCTTAGAAGCTGCAGAATAGCTTGTTCCGCTGGACGTATTCATTTGCATTCACCTAACATCAGCTTTCTCGTTGCCCTGGGTTCCTTCTTCTTGCGAGCAGAGGGAGAGAACGAGGGAAGCGAAGAAGAACAGTGGTTGAAGCGAGATCGATCGAAAGAGGTGCGTTTATTTTTTTTTCTTTCTGTTCCCGTGACAAAGCACCGTTCTTTTACGTTAAACTACCAAAGCTCTTTCTGACTGAAACCCGTTTCCCGTTTATATGCGAACCGAACCGGCTACGGTGATCCTGACTGGAATCGAGAAAGGACAAAAGACTTACGAAATACCCCGTTGCACTTGAACCAACAACTCTAGCCAACACACTGCTCTCTCATTTGTAAAAAACACGAAATTTTTATTAATTCATACCGTAATTTTGTTTACCGACTTTGGAATTTTTTCAGGGTAGAAACAACTTTCATATTTAGTTCTTGTTCGAGCATTACTTTTATCGTTTACAGGTCGCGGATTTAATAAATTATACCGATTACGAATAATTGATGATGATCTCTAAATATTAATTTAAAACATGAATCTTTATTTTAGAAGTGAGTCTGCATTTCAAAAATTAAGGTCTAATTTTAATGTATGAAAATTTATAAAATTCGTTTGATTTCCACTGTAGATATAATTTTAATGCAAATTACCGATAATTAAAAATTACTTCTTAAGTCACTAAATCTTCAAGTTCCGATTCACAGTTTGAAATATTTTCCTTTCATCCTTCGAGCAATGAATAATTTCCGAACATTAAATCAATAAAGAAAACCGTGTATAGTTTAGACTTTAAGATCATAAATGTCACTCTAAGCAATTAAACATGGCACACAAACAGAAGGAGGTATTTAACACGTCCACGAAGATTTTTAAAATATTCATACACGAAGAAGACAATTTTCTGTGCTAAGCAATTCAAACATTCCTGTAATTCAGCATGCATCAAAGAAATGCTAAAAGTTTTCGCAACAGCTGTGTTTCTAAGACACGTGTCTTGCAACTCGTCTTAATTTCCATTTTGAGCAGCGAAGATGACACCAATGACGTCACGAGCGTACGAGTACCGCGCAAAATGGCAGCACACGACGATATTTTCGGTTGGTACATATTTCTTTTTTTTTCAAGTGTACATTCGCATGAAAAATTCATTGATTGTTTCCTTCGCGATGATGCGACCACGCTCGTGTTGGCATAAATCTAAATACGAATACGTAATCGGTGCTTAACAGCTAGTTTTATGCAAAACGGCTAATGGCAAGTGTTGTCTCAGCAATCAATCGATTATGAAACTGAGAGGTGTCGAACAGGGTGCAGCTTTATTCAATTTTTTCTGCCGATAAAATTGGCTGTATTGTATTTAAACATCATGCCGATTAACTGTTGTACTAACATTTTTGCATATTAAAACCAGGCTGAATAACATTAATTATTATGAAAGCAAATGTGTAATAGAAAGGAATGTCGAATATATTTAAATAAAATTATAGAGCTTCTATAATTTTTCTATTAATTCTCTATTCTATACTTATAGAACTTCTATAATTTTATTTTAAGTAAAATTATAGTAAGAAGACAAACTTAGTGTTTTCTGAAAAATTTAGTAAATTCGCAAGTTTTATGTTTTTCGATATGGAATTATTTAACTGTGATGAGTAATAATTTTCTGTTAAAACTGGTACGTTTGAATTTAATAATCTTTCGTTAATTTTCTGATACAATGGGTAAAGAAATGTTTAAATATTAATTAAAACAATTACAGTTGACATAGAAAGATGATCGAATAATTATTAAAAAGTCTTTATTTTAATTGAACATTAGTCATGTTACATGCTATCTTTTATCAATGGTCGAAGTTAAATATTCGTATTAGAAATACTGAAGCGTATAACATACGACTAGTAAACTAAGTCTAACTAGACAGACCACTAATACATTATTCATGAATCAAGTTATTTAAGACCTCATTGAAAACATAAAATCGTTTACTTTTAAACGAGTATTCTGAATTTCTAATTTCATACGGTATACATTCGAAAATAAAACTTAGACAACATGTTAGTTTATTTTCTTGTTTGGTCTATCGATCAGTAAATCAGTTCTCTAACACTAATTCAAGCTGCAGATTATAAAATTCAATTGAAGAATGAGAATAAAATACGCAATTTTAGGACATATTTCTTGTGGATATAATACCATTAGTAGTTATCAGTCATTGTTCTTCGAATGTAGTTAGCAACTGTTTATGTAAAACTTTACTTAGAGTAAAAATACACATGAGTGTATGTGTTACATTAACTAAAATTAGGTACTAAATTAAAGTTATGAGGATAAACATATTAGTGATATTAATAACTACGTCTAATGTGTAATGTTTATCAATTGTTTATTATATTTTTCAAGTGACATTTTCTGTGTTGCAAATAAATTTTTTTCAAATACTTAAAAATTGTATAAATTCAGTTTTCTCAAAAATGAAGTCACATATGAAAATATTCGTAGCGTTCCTCTGATTTATTTTTTCATCTCATCATATTATTATGAATAATCAACTGAAAATTATTAAATCTAATAGTCAAAAAGTATCAATAAAATATTAGCAATTTATAGAGTAATGGAATCAAACACATTTCAGCTTTGGGCTAACATTACAAGAAACTTATTCACCCTAACTGACAGTACCATAACTTTCAAAATTTGGATTTCTTTAACCTACACATGATTTGAACAAATAAATACT